ATTTTGCACCGTCGTTCTTGCAAACCCGGAGCTGCTTCCAAAAGGATTTTCATCTTGCCCGTCTGACATCTTTGGCAACTAGACAGTACCCAAGAGCAACCAGTGCTCTGATACCAATTGTTGTGCTAGGATAGCACCAAACCTTATGGAACCAACTCAATCTAACCCACAGGAAATTTATCAAATGAAAATGCAAGAACAATATAGAAAATAACACCAAGATTTTAACGAGGTTCCTCCACAGTCAGTGTAACTGGAGTACGTCCTCGGAGCAGTAGGAGCTCACCCATTTTCCACTATCAACCAAATGAGAGTTTACAAAGTGTTGGCAATCTCACAACCCAAATAACCCAATACACCCAATAGCTCTCACACACCAAGGAAACAAATAGAGAAAGAAATATAGTGATTAATTTCTTCTCTATACAAAGCTCAAAGCTATTACAATAATAATACTTTGATGGAGTGAGAACCAACCAAGAAAGAAAATCACATTTCTTTCTTATATGGAAGCTGCGTACCTCTCTTCTTCTTTCTGCTGCTCCCTTCTTCTCTCTGTTATCCGACTGTCTTTCTTCTCTTACAACCAAAGCAGCAATTGCTGCTCAAATTCATTAAGTCACCCCGTGACTTCTCACATGGACCAAAGAACAAAAAACCTTTAGACAAGATCCATGTTTTCCTCCCCAAAACAAGGAAATATGTTGTCCACTTTTGGTTTGTTTATTCTAAAGTATATGGCCACTTGGCCACATAATTCAACAAGATCCACTTGAAAAGAAAGAAGTGGAATTTTAGGTTTTGTAGAAGAGGGCGAAATCGTAACGTTCATGAGATTTCGACTCGAATCGTAGTCGATCCATGCTTGAATTGGTTTCCCAGATTTGAGGTTAAGACTCTGTTTCGAAACAGAGTCTTTGTAGTAAGCTGCAGCAGCTGAGGCATTTGATTTCAAGCTGTTGATGTCGATTCCGACATGGTTATCGTTGATATCACCAAACTCGAAATCTTGAACCGTGTCGAATTCGACTGCGAAGATATGAGTCGAGAATTTACCGACGTCAGTACCATTGAGAAGACCGAGGTATTGGCTGGGAAGAGAGTTGAGATCCTTGGAGGGGGCGATCGTGAAGGCCATGCCGTGGCCACCCAGCTTCGGATACTCGGGGACGATGGTGAAGACGAATGAGGTCGAAAAAGAGAAGGCTTTGCCGACGGTTGAGTTCTTGAACTGAATTGGTGAAGTGTAGAAAGCATGACCCATTAGCCTGCTGGTGTGGTTGGTTAATTTTAACATGCCGGTTTTTTCAATATCCGCAACGCCGGATAGGGTTAGATTGGAACCCGCGTCTTTGAAGCCGGAATAGAAGAGCTCAGTGACCTGGGGCTGGGATGAAGCTAGGGTTGAGAGGATAAGAAGAACAGCAGAGACAAGTTTCAGAAGTTTTTCCATTTGGTCAAGGAGGGTTTTGGCGACTTGGTGGGATTGGATTGGATTGGACTATAAGTGTGGGATTGATCGAACGTTTTAGGCGAAAAAAATGAGGGTTTGATGGTTTGTGGTGGGATTGGACTTGGATTACAAGGAAAGAGGGAGGGGGTTTCTAAGAGAAGTGAAGGAACACTGGACTCGGTGATTATTTGGCCGGGTATTGGGTATTGTTAGGGAGACTAAATTTGTAAATTAAATATTGGAAACTAAAGAATATGAAAGTTGATAATTAGTTTATTACTTAAGCGTTGATAAACATGCTCATTTCTATTAGTGACACATCATTTAATTTACAAATTTAGTCTTCAAATTTAATCTATCTAGCATGAGTAAGCAGCCTAATGAAGACAAGCTCTCAAACATGGAGAAGAAAGAGGCTCAGCCTATAAGTGTGCTAAAGCGATCGAATAGGACACGTTTGTAACGTTTGTATTTGGTTATAATCCTTGTTCTCTTATTACAAAAACAAAAGGGTTGAAACTTGGATGATTGGTTTTGGTTTTTTTTCCTATGAGATTTGGTAGCAGTCAACGTTGAGGTAGGAATTTATACACAAAGGTGACATTACTTTTTCATCGACACTTTACTTAGGGTAATGTTATAAAAATTAAAATTTTAAATTAAATGATGTGTCACTAATAAGAAATAAATATGTTAATTGACACTTAGTTAATAATTCAATTATTAACAACTGCATCATTTGGTTTGTAAACTTGGTTTAAAAAATTTGATTTCCTAGCATATCATATGTTTAAGGGTAATGAATTTTAAGAAACCGGCATGTCCTAGAAATTCAGAGATCCAAACATTGCACTGTTGTATTAATCTGACATTAGGAGGCCAAAGAATTTTAAGAAAAATTGTTTAGTAGCAAGTTGGAAGGAATTTTAATCTTAATCTACAACCCAGACGTTGTACTGATTGTATTTCTTCGTTACCATAGCTCTGTCCTACCACCACTTTGACAGCGCAAACGGTGGCACCACCACTCTTCTCTCGAGCTCTCCAGCCCACTTCTTCCTCCTCCCATACCTGTCTCTAACACACCACATCATAACCTCGTCCTCATCTCCATCCGTCATCATAATCATGACAGCGATTGAAATTGAGTTGAGACTCACATCAACAAATCGAACCCGAGAGAGAGAGAGAGAGATAGTGGCCCAATTTTACTTGCAATTGAAGTTGGCCGGTTTCTCCTTTTCCCAAATTTAAAAATTTTTTGGACAAGAATCAATCCAAACCGTTGAATTTTCGTAGCATACATTGATCTGTATCACTAAAGACTTTTCGATATAACTTGAATTGGTAACAAAACTTTGGATTACACAAACGATAATGTGCTTATTAATTTAATCACAAGGCCAGTTGATTATATTTCATTCTTTATGCACCAAACCAAATCAAGAAACTCCATATGAAGGCAATAAACAAATCATGCGCTGCGACATGATGAAGAATTAAAATAGATTTAGCTGCACTTCATGTCATGCGCACGGCATAATGACGAACTTGTATAGAATTTTAACTCATATCCATTTCAAAAATAAGAGTTGACTTTTACTTTTTTAGGTAAATTTTAGTTCTTTTATTCATAATGTGCAAAGACTAATGGTTTTTAAACGAATGCAAGTTAGGCCGGTTTGCAAACGTGTTTGTTCATTTGCACCAAAATTCGAATCATTTCGTTCAAATATTAGACATTAATAAAATATATATGTTGTCAAAAAATTAAAAGCCACAACTGTGCTATGCTACCTATATCAAAAGGCACATGTATTGGAATAAATTCAAATGAGATTAAAATAACATCAACTTGGTCTCTGATCAAATTATCGAATATGATGCAGCCACACATGCGAAGACGAATGCTGAAGCTGCATTTTTTGTAGCTTTTGTTTTGTGGGCTCAGGGTCATAGCTCATATGCTTGTAATGAGACCCACATTACGACAGTTTTAACTGCTATAGGGTAAATGGGACAGAATTAGAATTAATCATGTGCTTATCTAACAAAATAATCGCATCATTTGGATAAATCTGTCCACAACGAGATCACGAGATAAGTGTTGTAGAGACAAAATAATATATCTTTGGTGACACAAAAGAATATATATATGCTTTCACTTTTGTTTTGTTTTTCTTTATTGGCTGTAATGTTAAGGTTGAATACAAGTTTATACCACACACAACTCATGCCTTATTTTAGATTCCATTTTTTACCGGATATGTGATGAAATTATGGGTTGAAGTTTAGTAGGTTAGGACAAAGAGTGGTAATATGTTGTGTTTGGATTTATCCGTTTATATGTGTCGTGTGTTTGGTTCATAAATAAAAATCTATAAGGCTTGTCATCCGGCATTATTTGTTTTCATTTACTCAAAAATCCACACGTACGATCCTGGCCCACCAACTTCTAATTCTAAATCAGGGCTCGGACTACTATCTCATTTCACTCTAACATGTCTAAGGCCTTAAACAGAAATCCCTCTGAAGCGCTTCTGCCACGCAGACGACTAGACCCGAGAATATTTCGCCTCCTCAAATGCCTATGCATGAGTCATCTGACAGGCTGACACGCTAATGTCACCACTATGATTGTGCAAACCACCACAAGACACAACGGACCTGGGGGGGGGGGACACCTACCAGGAATTACAGCCACTGTTAGCATCAAATGATCAATCTAACTCTGCTCCAGCTAAGCGATATGATCAAGGTTACTCTTTCTTCATTGCCTATAAATAGAGCTAGAGGCCTTCAAGCTTGAGACCTTTGTCAAATTCAAGCTCCACGATTGAACGAAATCTTGGATGATTCTTCAATCAACCCAATTGCTCTTTAATAAAACTCTCTTAGTTTTTCAGCTATAATCTCAAAGCCTTCCTTCGAAGAAAACACTACCTACTATCTAAAACTCTTGTAGCTCTGCCAACCCATGGTATGATTCGGTTGATATGCTATTCCAACTACCCTAATTTCCCCTTAGAGGCGTATGTTTTGTGCCCAATTTGACATCAATGATCTCGGTGGACTCCTCTAGCATTATCTTGTCCTTCATGGCCTAAATTTTGCTACAGTTTTCTACTTTTGTTTACATTTCAAGTTATGTTGCACAACCCATATGTTACTTTTGTGAACGTTTGTAATTTTGGCTCCATCATGAGATGATTACATTTTGTTTCTCGCTTTAGATTGTACTATAAAAAATGCCCGCGCGATGCTGCGGGGCTTGAATGCATCACCTTCAACTGCATCGTACAATTAACAAGACGAAACGAAACGTTTTGGTTCCCTAATAAATAGAAGAAACATAAGTAACATATAGTTCACAGACATGTTGCCCTTGTGGCCAAGGTGACAAAATATATATCTTATAGGTTAGTTACATGAGTGAGTAGTTGACAAAAAACATAAAGATTGTTTTGTTCTCATTCTAGCATCTAATTTTCCAAGCACAAATGTGGAAAGCAAAGAACATGCAGGTGTTGAAGCAAAAATGTTGATAGCTAAAAACATGTAGAACGGCTTGTAGCAGTTGATTACGGAGATTGTATTGTTCACTTTTTTTTAGAGTGGTCATCTTCCGCACTATAGCAAAAAGTATAAATCATAGTTTAAGAAACGCTACTATAATGTTTGTTACATAGGTGTGTGCATGAAAAATAAATTGCAAGTTACCTATCTTTGGGTTTTTTGCTTTGAGATTTTGTTCTGAGTGCATCTAACGACACTTTGTCGACTGGTTCAATTTTGGGGACAACCAGATTATGGAATTCTCTAGCAATTCTGGCAAAATTTGTTGTTTCTGTTTGGTCGCTGCGACGTTTTTTGCTGAGTCAAGGCACAAATTTAAAAGGTTAGAGATGAATGCGAGAGTGACAAAAGAGTGCGAAAGAGTGGTGTGAAGCTTTTTCATGAGCAGCAAAACATATTTATATACCTAAGAGAACCATGGTTTGTAAGATTTACACATGAGATCATTAAGCAAGAAGAGAACTTAACCTGTCAGATTTTTTCGTTTGATCAGGAAACAACGTTTTCCTTGAAGTCTTTGTGGGTGTAGCGGGTTGGGGTTGTTGATGTAGTTGTTGGGAAGGTGTAAATGGGCTGGGGTTGCTTTAGTCAAAATTTGTTTTCCTGCAGTGGTAATAGGTGTTTGTGGTGTGACTAAGGCAATTGTTGGGTTTGAGTGTGGTTGATCTTGTAGCAGTCCATGAACGATGAACTCTGTTTTCCCAAAGTCAGTGTTTTGGTTTCCAAAAGATAGCTGAAATTGTTTTGTCTGGCCGACCAAATTTTTCAGAGTTGGCGGAACTATGAAAGGATCCTCATATCCAAGTTTATTTTCCCAAAGTTAGTGTTTTGGTTTCCAAAAGGAGCTGAAATTGTTTTGTCTGGCCGACCAAAGTTTTCAGAGTTCGCGGAACTATGAAAGGATCCTCATATCCATCCTCTATGACTAGAGTGTGGCAAGAAACACTAAGTATTTTTTCAGCATAGACGAGAAAATATGGTTGTTAGGCAAACATTACTGCTAATATCAATCTTGTGAGAAATGTAGGAAATGAAGTAGAACTATTGTAATGTAGGGCAAGAAGAGCAGATCACGATGTTGCAATGAGACATTGATCTAAACTACAACAAATCAGTGAGATTGAGAGTTAGAATTCAAAGAGCAAACAAATGGACACAGGAAAAGTAACTCAATCTGCCATAGTGAAATGGACTCTACTTGGGACAGTTCAACAAACTTAATCTACGACAAATTTACATTTCACGAAAGAAAAGCTGCTAACAACGGGAATGCATCATCTGTCATCATATTAATTTAAGGGCTTAAAGCAAGCATGAGGTATCCCAGTCGGTTCTGAATGAGTACAGGGGTTACAGGGTGATAACGTAGATTTTAGAAGGAATAGGCTAAATAGAGCAAATAATGGTTAACTGTGGAGTACGCTTAGTGAAAATTATGGGGTAGCTGGTGATTTTAGTATTTCAAGGCTGTCATCAGTTTTTCATGCATAAAGGAGAGCACATGACAGATTGAATTTCAAAAAAGGCATAAAAAAGTTCACAAAAAAGAAGAAAGAAATTCAGCAACTCAGACCCATTACAGAGCACCAAGGAGGGATACATCATTTCCAGCAAAAGCACACGGCAAGGACACACTACCAAAAGTATATAAACGATATAATATAGGTTAGAATCGTTGGAGCAAAATCATATGGTAATGACATACTACCAAAAGTATATAAACGATATAATTTACTTTAGAATCGTTGGATATTAATCTACAGTGAAGGAAGCTGTTAATCATATATGCTTAGGTAAATGATTTTCAGGCACCCTTATTTTTTCTTGCCACTGGACTGAACAAAACAAATGAGAATCAAGGGCTAAATCACTTCCGATTTGCTTAAGGACTAAACTGGAGGCAATATGCTTAAGGACGACTAAACTTGAGCCGATATGCTTAAGAGTAAGCTCGCTAGCAAGCAGCACCAAAATAGTTCCTTCTTGCTGAGAACTGAAAGCTGCTTCTGTAAATATTGCTTACATAAATTTTTACATGCATTAATTACAGGTCCAGTTAGTATTCTTATTAGGCTGTTACCAATCTAACAGTACATGTAACATTTACAGAGAGAATAAATTAATTTATAAAGAGGGTTTTTGTTGCCTTGTATTGCAGAGTTTACCACAGATGTAAAACAAACGAAACAATTTTCAGCAGAGAAGCTGTTCATTTTTGGAAGATGAGGGTTTTGAGTTAGAATAGAACATTTGGACTGCATTTAACAACCAGCATTTATGGTTCTATGAAAATAAGTATAAACTGAGTTGGAATGACAACAGCAAACTGCAAAAAACAATCAAGGAATGCAGAACTATGGATTGTCAAATGGCGCAACATTTAACAACCACCATTCATGGTTCTATAAGAATGGGTATATACTAAGTTGGAATCACTACAACAAGCAGAACAAAAAAAAAAAAAAAAAACAGAGAATGCGCTTTTTCTCATATTTTCGAATCAATTTTAAACCCTAAAATCGTGACGCCTAGACCTTTTATTCACACCTCAGTCATTGCTGCATCCCTACATCTATGAATCCAATTTCATTCAAGAAACAATGCAGAGGAGAAAATCGAAAAAGAAGTATGTTCCCATGATTAGTGTTCTCGTTTATTCTTCACAAACTAATCACATATCTAAAATCTAAGTACAAAAGCTTTGCAAAGGTAAAAAAAAATGGTGTATAACTAATTAGGCTTTGAATATGTAATCAGTGTACAGAATTGTATACCAAAAGATGGCAATGAAGCGTATTCTTCCTCCCAGAATCAGGGTTCCTAAAATTTCCAAAGAAAGTAAATTGAAATCCGAGAAATTGGAGGACCAAATCTCATTAAATTTGAGTTAAATGAGCTAACGTACACCAATTAAATGAGATAGTAAACAGATTTCAAATCTATGAAATGTAATGGTTGAAATCCAACCAAACCTAATCCTTAAACCTATTTTCTCGGATACCCCATACTAAAGAAAATGCATGTGAAGTTTAGTTTATAAAATTGCATGCTGTTTTCTCCCTTTGTACCTTTTAACAATTCACCAGTAAGATCATGTCAAAAATACTTATATTAGGAAATCTAATGGCGAACAATGTGAAACCAAAGATGGTTACATCCTTGGTCTTCACAAATTTTGCTTAGAACTATAATGTTGTTTCAAGTTTTAAAAATTGATAACTACAAGCAACAGAGCAGATAGTATTAAGATCGAAAATGCATTCTGGAAACCGTGAGGAAACTGTAAAAGTAAAAAAAAACTGTGATGGTGGAACGGATTCAAAAGAACTCAAATTTCCGAGATACAAAACAGAGAAGCTTGTATAAATCATTTATAAAGGTTACCTCCTTTTGGTTGAAAAACTGAAGGGTGACGCCAATTCTTCTGCTTCCACCTCCTTATGGAACTTTACCTTGTACGTGAACCTGAAATCAGCACCCAGTTAGTACCTTTGGCAAGCTCATGGGGGTATTACAACATGTATGGGAAGATTATTGCAACTCTAATAAACGAAGAAGCATTCATTTGAGGATGTCGATGAGGGAGAGAAGAAGAAGAAGAAAAGAAGAGCTAGTTGAGGAACAGAAGAATTTTGGTGCTGTGTTTGGTTTGGAGGTATGGTCTTAAGAATTTACAAACTGCCTATATTATTCTCTTGCTTCAGTGTCTTCATTATCTCTAATTCTTTTTTACTACCTCTTCTTTCATGAAGGTATAATCGTCAAATTATTTTCTAACATAAAATATACACCCAAGAGACGTTTAAAACATAACTTTACTGAATCAAGTAGATGAAATAAACTTCAGTTTTGTTCAAGCAGAATTCAAAACCTAAAACCAGATATTAGAAAAGCTTATTAACATCTCAACCAACAACCTTTAGCTCCTATTCAAACATGGTGGAATCAGTTTCAAAAATGAAACCTGCTACAGGTGAAAATTTTGATTCAAATGGGTGACATTACATCTAACTGAAGAAACTAAAACAAAAGTATAGCAAATTATATACCTTAAAATGTCAAGCAACCAAGTTGTTCCTCCAACAACCCAAAATTCTGAAAAAAAAAACAGAAAAAAAAAAGAGGGTAAATCTATTAGCAATTCAGAGCCTTAAAATTATCAAAAATGAAACCTGCTACAGGAGAAAATTTTGATTCAAATGGGTGACATTACATCTAACTGAAGAAAGTAAAACAAAAGTATAGCAAATTATATACCTTAAAATGTCAAGCAACCAAGTTGTTCCTCCAACAACCCAAAATTCTGAAGAAAAAAAAACAGAAAAAAAAAGAGGGTAAATCTATTAGCAATTCAGAGCCTTAAAATTATCAAAAGCTGGGATAACAGTAAAGAAATTGGCAACTCCAAAGTACAAATGCTAAGCATGTTACTTCAACCGAAATAACTTCTAGATACAATGAGATACACATGCTCATTCCAGAAATGGAATCCAGATAAAACCATAATACAAAAAAACTGCAATACTTAAATTGCAAGATAAATCGATTAAGTAGTCAGAAGGTAAACACACCAATTTTCAAACAAAGCGAAGAAATTGAAATTGTCTCACGAAAACTAAGTAAAAGTTTTTGTAAATTCATTGTATTATTATCTAAGAGGCTACATAGAATGTTAATATTGCATGACACAAAAGCAATGGAAAATCTACATGTTTAGGTAATATCATTATGCTTAAGAAACACAAAATATCAGAATAACATCAAAAGTTAGACTTGCAGAATCCCAAATTACACTTTCCCAAGTTCATTGAGACAATTTCTTATACAAACTTGCATGCATACCTATATAGGCATGTACATACACACACAAATGCATATATACATACACATACATGTGCATACACACAGATGCATACATACATATATACATACACATGTATATATGCACACATATACATATAGCTATACAGATGCCTATACATATATTTAGACATATAGTTAGGTATATATTGATACATATATTTGCACATACATTTATACACAGACATACAACAAATTTTGATAACCACAATCAAGGCAACAACAAAAAAACCAAAAGCAAAAATTCAAAATTTTCGGTAGAAGAAGTTAAGTTTGGTTGTCAAACCCATTCATAAAGATGTAAGTGTTCATAATCAATCATTGTTGCATCAACAAAAAATTAGAAGGAAAAAAATTTAATGACTGAAACAGATGATTGTGAAAGGTTTAGGATATACCTGCTGCTAGGAAATCCAGATTCGAGTGGATGAGACTCTGTTTCTGAAAAAAAGTGCGTATGCTTGAGCTGCAAGGATACATCAAATAGCAAAAAATTAGAAGGAAAAAGAGTTTGTATTGAAACATAGTAAAGAGATTTATATTAGAAATTATTTTGTATAAAGAAAATTTAACATGGATAGACAGATACCTGACTAATGGTCTATTTTGTGGCTGCTGTGTGAATGGATGGTTTAATCTGTATGGTTGTGTTGGATCTACATGCATATCAAGAATCAAATCAAAAGTGCATTTCAGAAATATATAAGAAACCAAGAAATGAAATAACAACCTAGCAACATATGGATATTCAAATGATCTGAAATGGAAAAGGAACCTGAAGTTGATTTGTTGAGAAGCAAGCAGCAGGAAAGTATGAAGAAACACAAAAATGAAAACAGCGCAACCCCTTTGTTTATAAAGACAGAAATATCACCCTAACAGTGAACTAAATAGTGAGCTAAACAGCCTACAAACCCTAATTTAAAAATAATAAACTTAAAAAGGAGTCTTAATTTTGTTTACTCATAAGCAAAGGAAAATAAAATTCTGAAAAACAGAAATATCAAGACTAAGAGCAAAGTCTAATAGGTAAGTAAACAATTTTAAAATATCTATGATAGTTTGATAGTTTTAATGAAGGAAAAATGAGCCATGTCAATTTTAATAAAGGGAATGCTAAATCAAACAGTGAACAGAAAAATTCAAACAATACTCTGTAAATTAAGGTGCTTTTTTACTAATTTTTTTTTTTTCGTCAACCTTTCATTTTGCTGTAAATTCAAGTGTTTCCTGTCTGCGTTGGTCCAGCTGTTTATACTAGTCAAATGTTGGTTCTTCTTATGCAAATATTGATATATTTAACAGGCAACTACCTATATGCAATGGAGCACCACAAATAAATGTACACTATGGTTATTAGGACATTGGATTAGGTTGTAGGATAAGTTTGGACATCCAGCTAACCTAGAGGTGAACTAAACAACCTACAAATGACTAAGAGGAAACCCTAATAGTTAGCAACCAATATAAAATACGGAGTTTTAACAAAAAGTCCTTAGTACTATTCATTTTAACGAAAAATCACATTTTTACACTAAAAAATCAAACATGATACTATTCACTCTACCCTTTATTTTGTCCTTATCATTAAAACTCAAAGTTTTCAAACTTTTTTCATTAGTTTTCCTTATAAAATATCTATGAGAGCATTAATGATAGAAAAAATATCTATGACAATTTTAATAAATGCAATGGCAAAAGCAAACAGTGAACAACAATTTAAAACAATAAGCTGAAATAGAGGTGACCTAAACAATCTACAAAGATCTATTGATAAGTTTAATGAAGGAATAGAGAATCTGTAACAATTGCTAAACAGAAAAATGATGAATCATACAAAAATTTATCAAGAAACAAATAAATTAAATCAGTGCAAGGCATTAATTTACAAAAATTGAGACTTAATCCTAGCACCCAACCGAACAAATTATTAACATGCATTGCAATTTGAATGAAAGAGCCAAATATCAATGGCAATTTTAAGAAAGCAAATGGCAAATTAGACACTAAACAATTAAGGAAATACAGTGCATTACCTTTTGAATCAAGGGAGAAAGCTGAAAACCCACACCCTGCCATTCCTCCCTCACCCATCCCGTCCTCACCGACTCTGTGCGTAACCTCTGAACCCTAAACAATGCACACACGCATGCTTTCCGTTATGTATCTCTCTCTCTGTTCATTCCTCTCTCTAAAATCGCAGAAAATTCTATGGATCCTGGCACTAAACCCGTAGCTCCCATCTCTCTCCAATCAGTCAGTCTCTCTGTTTCCATCCTCTCCACTCGCTCTGTCCCCTTCCTCTCCTGTCGCACAGGCACACCCAGCTGTCTTCGAGTGAAAAATCGAAGCCATGGTCTTCTCTCTCTAATTTGTCAGCCGTTCTGTCTCCCTCCGCTCTTTGTCCTCGAGCAAAGGTTGAAATGCAGAGGGTGGAAATCAGGGTAAAAGGATGAGTGGCAGTTTTGTAAATAAAGAGACAATCGATTTAAAGTAGCCGAGTGGCAGTGTTGCAAATAAACTGAAATGTGGTCCAAAAAACTATTCACATGAATAGTGCCAATTTCCCTCTTACTTTAGACCATGGTCTAAAATATCCATAATATCCCGATATTTTCATCGAAATTTCCGTGTTTTTGGACTACCGATATTTTTTTGGACTACCGATATTTCTGATATCATCGATATTTTAGACCTTGCTAAGTCACTCATGTATCTTACCATGCAATGTATAAAGTGTAAAATATTGTACTAATTCATTATATATAAATGATTATGGTATGTTTAAACTTCGTTCATTAATTACTACATATTTTCTACACTCACAATGTTTGCCAGCTCGCTATATAATCAACTTAAATCAGTTATATCTATCATGCAATGCATTTACTTCCAATTTTTTGTGATAAACTAATAGATAATTGACTAAATAAATATCTTGCAAAGTTTCAATAAAAATTTCCAAGTTTTTCTTACAATTTCTGTGGTTTTTATTCAATTTTTATCGATATCGATAATATCTCGATATTTCCATCGAAATTTCCGTGTTTTTGGACTACCGATATTTCCGATATCATCGATATTTAATATCTTGCTTTAGACTAAAGTAATTTCGCTTTTGTTGACTTTTTAGGCAGGCATACATGAAATTACACTAAATTTTAAGTTCTTGTTTGCTCGGGGCATAGAAAGAAAAACGAACCAGCGTCTCACTTGATGTACAATTATTTTGTTCAAAAGTCATATTTACGCACAACTTTCACACACACTCGAATACAAATATTGTCTATTGGCAGCCTCTAACAATGGCACGCTTATTCTCTATTTCTCTTGAGTCCCCTAACGCTGAGACCAGAAGCAACACTTGGAGAAATACGTGTTGAATCCAGTCCAAACTCCGGCCATGTGTGGACGCCAACATTATGTTTTGGGGAAATCATAGAATGATCAAACACGTAGAATAATAATAAATAAAAGATTAGGTCCAAATAATAATAAATAGAATGATCTGACTAACAGGCAACCACTCAAATAAAAGATTAGGTCCAAATTCCAGGAGGAGTCATCTAGTTGAACCTTGGCTGCTTTGATCATGTGAACAATGGGCTTAAATTACAATCTACAAATTCCTGCCTATTGTTTTCATATTTGCTGTTTGGCACACGGTAATATAGAGCAAGCAGAATTTAGTTACGCCTTTCTATTGTCATAGCATTTGATTCATTTTCATTAGATTGATACTTAGAAAAACTAGTGCAATGAATTGGGCTGGTATATATTTACCTATCTTTACTCAAGAGAATCGCTGCACATGTACATTTCAACGACACAATGAAGGCCACCACATTCTAATGCATATATATTCTCAAATTCCTATGGGTGTATTTGTTGCACCGAACTGTCTCGAACTGGACTAGCTGCAGAGATTAAGCTGAACTGGTTTAGACTAGACTAAGCTGGATTAATTTAGTGAAGCGTTTGGTGCAGTATCAGATTAAAAAGCATGATTATGAAAACCCATCCACAACAATGCAACCCATCAAAAATTTTCCCAAAAGAAATTAAATTCAGACAAAAATAATCAATGTGGATTTTGCGAATAAGGATAGAAAATGTACCAACAAGAACAGATAATGCTAAAGTTGTATACCAGACCAAGCAAAAATATACACATTTATACAAACTCAACCAAATATATATATGCAAACCCAGTATGCCGAACGATGCAATTGATCATTTCATCTTAAATTAGAAAGAACCCACCATTTTAAACACCATCACACCAAACAAAACATTTTCAAAAATATGAAATTTCATATTATATTTACCAAAAAAAAAGTAAATCTGAGAAAAATTAGGGAGGAGATCTGATGCATACAATTGTTGCGTCTCTTGAAGGTGCGTCTTTTTATCAAATTTTGGTGCCTAGATGGCCTCGACGGCCAACATCATCTGAATGTCAGCCTCCTTTTGAGACAGCCGAGTTGGTGATGCAGCAATGGTAGCCATCATTGAGACTTCGACAGAGAAAGAGGGAGATAACCTTCAGAAGAGGAGTGGGCGGCGCCAACAGCAATTTCAACCTTGGATCAAGCAGACCCATCGGTGGGTGGTAATCGAATTTTGGAATTTAGGTGGTGGGTGGGGCTATCAATGCAAAGATAGAGCAAGGGAGAGAGAGGAAGATTCGTGCGGGGAAGGATTGTGAGGATTTGACGGCAAGGTCATGGAGCAGGAAGAGGACACAATGCGAGCAGATGAAGCAGACGACGCGAAGAGCGAAGGTCTTAGCAGTACGCCTCATTTTGGGGGGTCTAGCTAAGACCCTCTAGCAAGCTCTCTAGTCGGGATGAATCCCACCTAATCCCACTTAGTGAGGGCAACAAACACAATATTGCACTAACTTTTAGTCCAGTCCAGTCTAGTCTCACTTAGTGAGGGCAAACAAACGCCCTCAATAAGTACACTTCTAAAATTGGTACAGGCAACTCCCGTCATCGCTCCTCGCCGTGGGATCGTAGTTCGCAGCAGATGGATCGGTGCAACCTTCAGGGACAGGCAGGTTAACCTGTTGTGCTGCTTTGCCTGCATCCAAACAATTATCAAAACCTTTAATAAATTTGCCTTCTCAAATTGTTGTTTCCTTTTACAATCCTAAAGCCAGATGCAACCCTATCATCAAGGCCTTTAGGAGCAAGGATCTAACCGTAGAAACTTCCACTCTTTATGGCATCGTCATTGGCATCCCCAAGAGCTGCCTCTTTCAAGTACTTGTCGGACAATTGGACTCTCTTCACATTGTCCTGCTCTTGCACCAGCAGGTTTCCATACTCAAGCAGCTTCTCAAGAGTCATCTTCGGTTGATCAAAAGTCGGGGGTGCCTCTTTCGAGTTCACTAGCCTCTTCCCGATGCCTTCTACCCCAACACTTGCAATCCATTTCCTCACTTCATCGTCATAAACTCTGGCCCTGATGGCACCAAAGAAATCTGCACACAAGCACAATTTGATTTTTATAATCTCTTATTTTTCGTTCATTAGCTATGTAATGTATCATGATGTCCCAAATTCATGTTAAGGCACAGGACTTACCAATGGACTGACCAGGGAAGGTGTCAACGAGCTTGACAATGTCACCTCTGGGAACATTGTCAGCGCGAAAAATTCCCATGCACACACCAATGCAGTCTTCACGAGTAGGGGCCCAGTAGAACTTCTCCATACGCCCATCGCGGATGAGAGGTGCGTACAATGTGGAGAAGTCATTACCGGTGACTATGATGGGAACGCGAGGATTCTCCTGCTTGTTATACATACCTGGGAGTTGGACATTGGTTGGGTTGTCAGCAATGTTCATAAGGGTAGCATTCACCATTTGATTGTTGACAGTGTATTGAGTAGTTCCACCCAGTCTTCCAGCTCCTGCATCTAAATCGTTGATGAAGAGGCAGCACATTTTGCCCTTGCTGATGATGTCTGCTGCCTCGCGGTACCTTTGCCTGATCAGTTTTGCTGGCTCCCCAGCATTTCCACTTTCCAATTCTCCAGCACTCATCATAATAGGGCTGATCATTCATTTTAATTACAAGATGTTTTAGTAGTGAGCATTTAAATTCAAGAGAAATTATGTTACACACTATTTTCTCATTTTGCGCACATTGTTTATTTTTATCTTTCGATTCTATTTTAAGTTATTCAATCGAAAAACCATAAATAAACACAGGTATGCAGAAGGAGAAAAGAGGTGCGCAGAAATCACTTTCTTTTTTATTAGCCTTCTAAAACCCCAATTCTAAAAGCAAGAAGAAATAAAATATGAACTCACTTGATTCCCATCTTGGCAAAGACAAGCTCACATTGGAATGACTTTCCTTGACCTTTGCCTCCCCAGACACCCAAAATAAGAGGAACCTGTACCAATAATTTTCATATATCCCAATCAATTAGCTAATATCTATAAACTAACCACCTAAATTGGAACTAAAATTGATCAAAAGTTTGACAAACCTTAATGTTGGGCAGGTTCAGAAAGTTCTTAGTAATGTGAACAACAAGTTTGTCCATAAAAGCTGGAGCAATGTAGAAGCCATCCATCATGTTGTCCAATCTGAAACAGAATTGAAAATTGAGTTTTTAACATACTTGGATTTTTACTTAGTTACGCTTACGATCTGATTTTTGGGTTTGCACCTGAATAAAATTGTTTAAATGCAACATCATAATAATATTTAGTCATAACGTTATTACTTTGCATTTCAATAAAGCGTGGCCCCGTTACGTAAAACATAGAAGTGCTACTTACTGGCGAAGACCAGTACTGATGTAATCGTAGGAGCTCATGACGGCGTAGTGGGTCCCACTGCCCATAGGAGCTTGGAAAAGCGTGTCCACCATGCCCTTTCCTCTGGTGATGTCCTGCTGGTCATCTGAAGTGTCAAAGGCAAGCCCTCCCCACCTGTCTTTGGGGGTCTGCTTCGACTCATCGTATTCTGCAGCAACCATGAAATTCCCAGGTGAACGTATCTTTGGGTGGCTGATGATCTTGGAGCTCACCTTCTTCAAGCTGCTACTGCCTAAGAAAGCAGAGCCATTGAAGTTCAACTGCAACACCAAGAACACTTTTTTTTTCTCAGCATCCAAACAGAATTTAAGTGAAATTACAGAGTTCCATGTTTTTAGAAAAAGTCAAGCAAACCCAGAAAGGAAAAGTTACTATTACAGTCTAAAACCATTAATTCAAACACCATAACAATCAAAGACACTGCACGGCTACTTACATTCATTTTTTCTTTAACTGCAAATCACAATTTGATATGTATACAATAACATTGCTCTAAAATTTGGAAAACTAAAAATGTTTATGCACGCATGTCAAATTTATATATATATGTAAGAGAATTGGTTGCAAGGAGCAAAGTATTTTCGTAATCTGAAATACTGTTTTCAGTGATATTCATAAAGGAATTGACTTTGTTGTACAGAGATGAGATCAGAAAATTAAAAGAAAGATTTTTTCTACCAAATGAAAACAATGAGAAAGAAAAGTTGGGTTTGTTAGAAAAAAGGGTGGGAAATTCATAGTTACCGGTGCTCTGTTAACGGCGGCGATGGTTGCTGCTGAGATTGAAGCAGCCATTGATTTTCAGAGGTGAAAAAACTCAAAGAAAAGAGCTGATCAAATGGAGAATTTGAAGGAAGAAGACGAGGTCCTTAAACTGAAACTGTTTGGGAAATTTGTATCTTGGGAAAGAGGGAAGGCAGGGGAGAAGAATTTATAGGAGTGAAAGACAGGTATTGGATTGCGGGGAGGATGGGAACTGGTTTACGAATTCCCAACGGCCACACAAGTTAGGATTGGCGGTATTACGTGGCTCGTGGTATCCTGCTGAGGTGGACGGTGGTTTTGGAATTGTGGGTGGTTATGGGCTACATGGGTCGGCTACAAAAATAGAAACAAAATGGAGGCTTCTGGGCTTATTTAAATGAAGACAAAATGGAGGATTCTGGGGAACTCGGTTGGTTTGAGGTTAGGGTTTAAGCTTCTTTGATCTCCACAAAATTTAGTTACTACTTGCATAAGCATGATTGATGTCTCTCTTGCTCACATTTTTTCGAAGCTACACATAACTTCAGGTGCATGGTTAAATACTCTTAACTACTTTAATTAGTTAGGATGTCTCAACTGCTGTTTTACTCAAATTTTATGATAGTTGATATTAGGCAAGAATTCTTGGACAATTTTCAATTAGAAAATTACATTCCAAGGTAAAATTACATTCAAAGGTTTTTCGGAAAAAAAGACATCGGAAGGTAAGACCTAGTAACTATTTTTGCTAAAATGAGTATTTTTTCTTTTTATAATAGAGTATGTGACACAATTCACATGAGTTATCACTACAGTTATTAAGTTTATCTCCCCAAATTTCACATCTTGTGTGTGTTATACTAAATCTACATTTAGATGCCATTTTCCATTGAACATGGCCTTGCGTAATTTTTTTATTTTATTTTTGAATGTTTGATTTGTGATTGCATATGTGCAAGATATCTTTAGAGCCCACAACTTTCTTTACTTTGTACACCAATCACCAGCCACAAAAATGAAAAAAATCTTTAGCCACAAACACCAACACAAACCATTGTGGAAACCGTATACAAATCGAGAAACTTCTAATGCGAAAGGAAAGTTAATATGTAGAAGCTTATCATGGTTTATACGGGATCGCCAATCTTTTGGTCACATTTTGTTGAATTGGACTTGTCACAACCAAGCCCAAGACATCTCATTTTCATCATCCTGACTTTAATTGGGGATAACATTGCTGCACACTTCTTGAAGTGGAATGCATGGGCTCGGCGTTCATGGAGTGACACTATTTTGGCCCTTCTTAAGTAGTTTATAAATAAAGATATTTCAAGGTGGATTTACCACAAATAGTTACTGAAATTGACCAACATTATTAAGATGATCCATGATATTAAAAATCAATCAATGTAGTCTTTGAAAATAGATATCTCGAATCAATATGGTTATTCCGTCACAATTCTGTCTAAAATTCTTTTATATACTAACGTGGCACATAATATGCCCCACAAGATTTATAGGTTTTTATTGAATTGACCCACATCATCAAGATGGTCCATGAAATTGAAATCGACCAATGTAGTCCTTGAAAAATAGGTGTCGCAAATCAATACGATCATTCTATCACAATTCTGTCAAATTTTGGTTATGTGCTGATGTAGGTTAATAATCAATTAAAAAGTTGTCCAAAATACCTTTTTGCACAATGGGATTATCTCAAGACAGAGCTCGCCATTCTCCGCGTCACCGAGATCACCGGAGGAGCTCCCAACAAGCTTTCCAAGATTAAGTTGTAAGGATGTTGATCGCCTAAATGTTAATGGTGATGTCACAAAAGTCGTTGCCAATCCAAGGTGTCACCAAATGTGGCCTTGGTCTTGGTCAAATTCTGTGAAAGGTGTCGAAGTGTGTAAAGATGGGTGGTCTTGAGGTTTTTTATTTTTTTATTTCCAGAGAAGAGATAGCTAAGGCTACCATAGATGGAGGTAGAAGAGTGTGGGTTGGAATCGAAGGTTATTGCGGGACAAGGTTTTTGAGTTGACAACTTTTTTGACCTATTTCTAATTTATTTTTAATTTAATTAAACTTGTAGGACCCATTTATGTGTGACATTTGTACATAACAAAACTTTTGACAGAATTGTAATGGAATGACTACATTGATTTGACACACCTATTTCTAGGACTACTGCTATCGATTTAAATTTTAGGGAGCATCTTGTTGGTGTGGGTCAATTTCAAGGATCATTTGTGATTAAAAAAAAAAAGATTTATGGGGCCCACTTATGTGCCACATCAATGCATAACACAATTTTTTGATAGAAGAACCACATTAATTTGTGACACCTATTTTTCAGGACTATATTGGTCGATTTTCAATTGCAGAGACCATCTTAACAGTGTGGGTCAATTTCAAAGACGATTTATTACAAAACCCCTTCAAAGTATGAAGATTCCCCCCCCCCCCAAGCCTACCCTATGATTCCACCTCAATTTGTAGCTTTTGTTATGTTTTAGTCAAGTACTTGTAGCTGTAGGCGGGTTTTCAAAAGCATTTAGGTATGTAAGTATGGTGGTTTTGTAACATCCCACATCAACCAACAGAGAGGTGGTGATGTGCCTTATATGCACATGCCCACCTCCATATAGCACGAGGCCTTCTGGGAACTCACTAGCTTCGAGTTCCATTGGAACTCCAAAGTTAAGAGAGTTTGGGCGAGAGCGGTCCTAGGATGGGTGACCCCATGGGAAGTTTTCATCCCGAGTTCCCAAAAATAAATCCGTGAGGGAATGGTCATCCCAAAACGGACAATATCATGTTACAACGGAGCCGGGACTGGGATGTGATAGGTTTGGCACAATGAGGGACCAATTGGTGAAGCCTAGAATTTCTTAGGTCAAAAAATAAAAATAGTTTTTCATTTTCTTTTGCAAACAATATTTTACATTATAGGGTGGGGGAATTAGGCAAAACTATAAGCCTCTCATAATATTACGGCATTGAACTTGTTATCTACGAAAATTGAATTTAAGACTACTTACAAGTAAAGAGGACTACATGTAACCGTAATACTAGTTGCAAAAGAAATGAAGTTTATCAAGGATACATAGTCCCTATATCTGTAGGTACTGATGTGTCTTGTCCATAGTTTATCTTAAACTTCTTATGTTATGTAATACAAATTACATAGTAAATCTAAATATGAAACAAATAATACACTACTACATCATTTGGTATCTTAAAAGTTTGGTGTAATAATAGTACTACGGAGACACCAATATGTGAAGAAAGCAAATCTAAAATGAACTATAATTCATGCCCAATTTTATTTTTTTTCCTTTCCCAAACTTGTTAACATAGTTTGATGTATGCTTGCTGTACACCAAGTCCAATGAGAGAAAGATAAGCCATTTTTCCCACCTGTTACGGAGGTGTCACACTCTCAAAGCGATTGCAGCTTCTAATTTGGACTTGTACAACTCTGTCAGCTCCTTCTGTGCCATTGATGATCTCGCAACATTGTCTACGTGGCGCCTGCCCATTCAATCATTCCCCAAAATATGTTAAGCTAGCACTAATCAACTTAATTGTATCCACACAAACAATTTCAGCACATATTATGGCACAAATGGTGCTCAGAATTTAGACAGAAAATCCTGCAGAAGATTGAGGTGCATGATATTTTCCCTATATGGTCAATGCATTTAGATTATGGGCCAATGCCTCTAAAGTTTAATGCATGTCAATTTTGTCACGTTTTTGTCACCAATAAAATTGTGACAAAATTAACCAACAAATAGTCCATGTTCTTATAACTTTATGACCCACTTTGGAAAGAAGAAATCAACTATCAAAATCAGAGTAGGGGGGGTGTTCTTTGATTAGAGATAATTGCATAATGTGAGTAGTCAGTTTATTAAAAGAAGAGATATTTTGGATGCGATCCCTAATCCTTAACATTTTTTAATAAAAACCTTAATAGTAATAAAAGTTTGATCAAAGTCCCTTAACTTTGTACACCTCATTATATTACTATTAATATTTATAGTTTTATAGTTTTGACATTAATTGTTTGATATTTTATGAGATTTATAATCCTATAAATTTAAAATCCCTCATTATAATGTTATTAGAAACGGTTGCAATAAAAAATTCAAACATTTTGATTGAATAAATGGATAAAAACTATGTAAAAAGAAGAAATAATAAATGGCAAAAGAATGTATCCATAGTGTTAAAAAAAATTGGTACATTTTACAAAAAAAATTGGTACGTTTCACATATAACAAATTGGTACATTAATAAAGAAGAATGGGTACATTATAAATAAATTAGGGTTCAGATAAAAGATTAAAAAATTATGAGTACAAATGATTTTTTTTTAAAATATAGGCGCTACAAGAAATTAATACATGGGTACAAAATAAAACTAAAAAAATACTACAAATTAAAAAGAAATGTTGCAAATTAAAAGTGGGTACAAACTAAAAATATAAATATATGATACAAAGTTTAGGCATAAAACATAAATATATCATATGTAATTTTTCTATCATTGATTGAATATACAATGTCATGTGACGGTATACACATGGATACAAACACAAATAAAACTTTAAAAAATATGGGCGCAAAAAGAAACTAATATATGGGTACAAATTAAAAATAAAAAGAAAATTGGTACAAATTAAAAAATATTTGCAGATTAAAAATAGGTACAAACTAAAAATAAAAATATATGATAAAAATTTTATCCATAAATATAAATATACTAATTGTAACATTTTTAACACTAAAGGAATATATTTTAAAAATAAAAGTATTTTATTATTCAAATAATTAATAATGTTATTAATACCTAAAGACCTTGATCAAAAATTGAAAATGAATATGATTTTAATTAATTGAGTAACCAAAATAAGGATGTAAATCTAATTTCTTCGTAAAAGAATATAGTTGATTGACTAACTCCTCACGTCCCGCATCATTTGCCACGTAACTATAAAATGTGCCACCTATATTTCAGTACCTTTTCCAATAGAATTTTCCTAATGAAGGAGAAATTTTTCCTCACCTTATTCCACAAGTCTGGGTTGAATTTGGGAGCCGAGACATTGAAAACCTCAACTTTCAAAGCATGAGTGTAGTCACTTCGAATGCAATCATTTTCCCCGTACCTCTTGTAAGTAGTCAGGGTCTCACCCCCACCAACGTTTTCAACCCCATCTAACATATACACAACCGATC